TAAAGTGTGTGAAGAAGTGGGGGAGGGCAGGATCGAGGACAGACTGAGCCAGGTCAGAGCCTCGGAGAAGAAGCGGGGAAAAAGGGGCAAGGGTGTTTTGGTTTCAGAGAAATGCTGCTTGAAAAGGTTGAAGACCACTGCACTAGACTGTGCCTGCTACAGCCTTCTTGTGACACCTTGGTCATGTCACTTAACGGCTGGTGCCTCGGTTTCCCAGTCAAATGGAGTTGACCAATACTTCTCTACCATACAGAAGAAAATAAATACATGCTGATGGGGATGTTTCGGCCCTAGCCAGCTATAATAAATGAGGTGGCAAGGTCCAGCTTAAAAAGATCCTATATATGATGAGCAGCAAGAAACTTGGGGGAGGAGGGAGAAATGTTACAATCCAAGCACACTGCAGCAGAGAAGGGAAGGGGGCAGCTAGTGATTTCACAAGAGGCTCGTTACTTTGGGGTTTCCCGAGGACCTTATTTTTTAATTAAAGTTACAAGTTCAGCGGTGGGGGAGGCGACCCCCAAGAGACTGTACCGCAACGTCACGTTCCTCCTTCATTCCCTCTTCTGAATAAAGCCTTGAGCTTTTACAGGTGGATCCATGTTCAGGGAATCATGTTCCACCACTTGAAGGAGAAGGGTTTTCTGCGGACATTGGTGCCGCAGTGGATCTCCCCCAGCAGGGCGTGGTAGGAGAAAAAGTCATCGACGAAGGTGCAGGTCAGTCCCAGCGGCTCCAGCAGGGAGCGGACGTTCTCTTCCAGGCAGCAGCGCCCGTCGATGATCGGCCCAAACGGCTTTGGGATGCCCAGGTGTTTCCCCAGGACGATCATGTTCACCTGCACCCAGGAGAGAAAGGCCAGGGTGGGCGTATTGAACATACTGTTACAACAGCCAGACACCTTCCTGCGTCACTCCTAGACGATGGCAAGAAGGAGACTGCGCAGCCACATGTTGGGGGGCTCAGCCAGGACTCAGCCTCTATGCTACAGAAACTCAGCAGCAGAGCCAGGCTGCGGCCACCCTAAGTTTGCCGTGAGTCCCTCTGGCACTGAAATACTTGTCATGAGGCGCAGTACATGGACTTCCCATTACATTGACCCTGGCAGGCAGTGCACTAGTGAGTCCTGCCCAGAATCTGGGGGGCTGCTGAATATTTTTGAGCTGGGGGGGTCTCAACGTTGGGCCCATGTCATAGGCACTAGCTCCCCCTCCGCTTTGTGAGTGGGAGGGGCCACACCCCTACTCACCATGCCTGTGGCACCTAAAGCAATTCCCCCCCCCCGACAAGGTTACAGTAGGGAAATCAAGGCAGATGAGCAGTTCTTAAATATAACTTAGTAGCTGGAAACAGGGAGGAGCCAAACCCATGTGACCAGCATCATGTCTACCGTTCTTAACTAAAAGGAGGAGTCACGTGACCCTCCCTGAGCCAACGGGTCTCGTGAAGACGTCAAGTAGCAGACACTTTGTCCGTTTGCGTGGAACACACTGCCCAGCCAATGGAAAAGCGCCACACAGGAGATCCTGCGGCACCGAGTTCGAGCCGGGGCTGGCGGACGCGGGCGGCAGGGCTACAAATAGCAGCATGGAGATGTGGGGCTGGGCTGGGCCCTGGGCCCTCCGACCCTCCCACCTCGTAGGGTCTCTGGGGTTCCACGCCACAGCCGGACATTGCGATTTCATGGCCTTGCAGGCCGGAACCCAGAGGCCCAAGTCTGCTACCCCAGGCCAACTGCCCCATGGCACAGCTGAACCCCCCGCCCCCGATAGGCCCACGCTGGAGCTGGAGGAGGAACTCCAGCTTGGAGACGCGTCCCTGCCCGTTCTGACCGAGCTAATGCGCTGAGAACAGACGTGTCACTGAAACCCCAGGCATGCGCTCGGCCTGGCTGCTTCTCCTGCTTCTGTTTTCAGCAGGCTAGTGTGGGTACGTCCCCCTGAGCCGGCAATGCCGCCTTTCCACCCCAGTGGGCGCTCCGGGCTGCCCTCTCGCCACACTGTAGCC